TCTCGGGCCGTACTCAACCATCGCAACTCAAACACATTGACCAAGGTCAGGGTTATGAAAGTACCCAGAGTATTCTGAGATTCTGATAGACTAAGACTCATAACAAAAATAATCTATCGCTGTCGCAAAGCGTCATGGTGTCACTGGCACTGTGAGGGTTTCTCAGAAGTCAGGTTGTGCAAGGCTGGGGTTGACTGACAATTAATTTATTGTGCTCGTTTTAAATGGGTTCTGACTGCGGCTGTGATAGCATCGGGTCCACTTGCTGCTGTGCAACATTGAAAAAATTTTGTCATAATAGTTCGGTGTCGCTTAGGGTGACCGCTTCAGGATGAGTGTCAGGGCTTCGGTTGTCCTAGTGATTCAGTGGGTTTGCAGCATGGATTCTGTGAGTACGTCGCTGTCGAATATAGTATAGGCTTCGGGGTGGAGTGTCAGAGGTAGCGTCAGGGCTGATAGTCGTAGGGGGTCCCTTTGCACATTTGGGTCTTCTGCTGCATCCTTCACTTCAGTAAGACTCAGACGTCACTGTTGCCAAGGGTTCCGGCGTCGGGGGTAGCGTCAGGGCTTGCGGTTGTACTAGTATCCGGTCGACTTGCCTGCTACTTTGCAAAGTTCTGGGCCTTGGGGTTTAAAGTCATCGACATGTAACAGTTACAGTTAATACAAATACTCTCAAACCCTGAAGTCTGGGCACCTGAAGAAGCTGACCTTCAACATTGCGTGTAGCTGCTGGTGGCTGTAGGTACCTGAAGTCTGAAAACCTCAATCGGTTACCCGTAAAAGAAGCTTCCGTCTTCTCCTCTTTAAGGGTAATAGCGTCGTCGATGTCGTAGCTAAGCTAGATAGGCCTTGGAAACCCCAGCGCCTTTAGAAGCCAGTGGGATGCAGCTCTTCCGAGCAAACGGGCCGCAAAGAAGCTGGAAGTCGTGCTCACCACCCGGATGAACTCTGCGGAGGCGGACGAGGTCCCCGACTTCAGAAAGCTGCAAAGCTCCGAGGTCCTGGCCGAATTCATTTACAGCCTGGCCAGGCAGGGCTTTTCATGGTCCTGGCAAACTGTGTCCTCTCTGCCGCAAGGGCCACGAA